ACTCCTCACGGCTTCTCCTTAAGTTACTCTCCTCCAGGTATTCCTTGTGAGGAGGGGTGGGGCAGCCTCCTCCCGAGTAGCCTTGCGGCCCTTCTCTGGCCTTGCCTACACTCCGCTCTCCTTGCCCTTGGATCTAGTGGAGGAGGCAGCTGTCCCTCATCAGAGGAGATTGTCTGCCTATCAGCGCCACTGCCTGCCCTGTGTCTGTGAGGGCAGGCAGCTCTCCATCTGATCGACCATCTCCCCAAATGCCTGAAGGACAGCATCGTCCTCAGCCCCCGGCCTCTCCAAACATGCCAAGGGAGACGTGCCATCCCTGTCAGACGGTCCCAGTTCCAACTCCTCCTCCTCCTTCGAACTGGGCTCCAAGGGGGCCACGACACAGAGGCTCTTAAAGAAGAGATGGAGATAGAATTATGCTTAAATACAGTATATTAAAATCTGCTTAACGTATGCACATAATACAAGTAGTCCTCGACCTACAACAGTTCGTTTAGTGACTGTTCAAAATTACAGTGGCAGGGAAAAAATGACTTATGACAGTTTTTCGCACTTATGACCGTTGCGGCATCCCCATAGTCATGGTATTCAAAATTTGGCCGCATGGCAACTGACTCATATTTATAACAGTGGCAGAGTCCACCTGATCACCTTTTGCGATCTTCCGACAAGCAAAGTCAATGGAGAAGCCACATTCACTGAACAGCCATGTTACTTAACAACTGCAGGGATTCACTTAACCGCCATGGCAAGAAAGATCATAACGTGGGGCAAAATTCACTTAACAAATGTTTCACTTAGCAATAGAAATTTTGGGGTCAACTGTGGTCATAAGTCGAGGACTACCTGTATCTGATTGGCCTGAGTTGATCCTGATTTCGTGAAAACCATTTTTCAGATTCCATGCATCAAAGTAAGAAGGAACCAATCAGAATTTTCTTCCCTGATTTCTCTTCCTGCATGCCACGTGTATGACTCGGGAGCATTGGAGACATGGGTCGATGACAATATTTTTCTTCTCTACCTATATTTATTACAGTAAAAGGCAGTACCTTGAACCTTTCTGCACTGGCCACTCATCCTCGGGTCAGCAAAAAACCATATCGGCATGACATTTGCTGTTCTCATTGCCAATATTTATTCTAACCTTGTTCCCTGCTACCGATGGCCATCTGCCCTTCTTCCAAATAAAAACCTGCCAGATTTTACATACTCTGAGGTTGTCCTCAGGTAGTGTTGGAATAAGGGAAAAATACCTGTCTTATATCAGTTTATTTGGGACAATTTAAGGGTTAGGGTTATTCATGGGATGAAGATGAGATAAAAAAAAAAAAACTATCACAAGGCCATTGCAGGAAAAAAGAGATTGCCAAGTAATTTTTGTTCAAGAGGGAAAGAAACTGGTCTGTATGTGTATGGAAGAATGCCTAGGCCAGGGGTAGGCAACCTTGGCTCTTTTATGACTCGTGGACTTCAACTCCCAGAATTCCTGAGCCAGCTATGCTCAGGAATTCTGGGAGTTGAAGTCCACGAATCATAAAAGAGCCAAAGTTGCCTACCCCTGGCCTAGGCCCTAGAGGCTGGCCTGTGCACTAGGAGAACAACAGTGTTTGACTTTTATTGAATGTTCTTTCTTATAATATTTATATATTGCTAATACTTCACACTGACTCCCAGGAACACTTCCCACAAAACTGTAACACCTGAAACCATTAAAATACCCATCATTCCTCTCCCAGCAACATTTATCATGCTGGATGAAAGACACAGCACTCAGCCAAGCAGAAGTACAAAAGGGAAAAAAGGAATATATTAACTGGGATTTTCAAACTCAAGAGAAAGAATGATAGCTGGGGATTCCTACAAAAAGAAAAATCTGTGCCGATGATGGATAAGCAATAGCAATGAAGATCTTGGCTACATTTTGGGCATGTCATTTTTATTCATCATTCCCGATAGAGTTTTTTTTGGCTCTCGGTGGGAGATTGGTAGGCAACAAACTTTGGAGCATGTCTTGTTTGTCTTGAATGTCTGAAAACGTTTCCAGATATTATGTAGCGCAAAAGCTGTCACATATTCTTTACTTGCCAAGGAACTGCTGTCACTTCTAGTTCTTTGGTGTCTGTGATGGATGCATTTCCAAAGATTTATTTGTCACATTGTCATATGTTCTCTTTAAATAAGCAATTTAGCAGCCTTAAAATTCCATTTAAGGGAAAATATGTATTAACGTGTGAAAATTGTGCAAATATCTAATTCTGTCTTCCATCATCTTGGGAATTACTTTCAGATACAGAAGGGTAGCCAGAAAGATAACACCCCACTAATAACTTTCCAAAGCCTACCCTGCTTGAACGAAGAGCAATTGAACAACCATAAATATAGCAGCTTTGAAAGCCTAATCATGAACATCTGTTGGTTATTACTGAAAGTATTGGCTTAACTTTTAAAATGTTAAGTGGCTTATGGCTTAGTCTATCTGAGGGACTTCTGTCTTGATATCAGCCAGTCCAGAAATTTTGGCTGGCCGAAAAGACTCTTTAAAGATGCTCCACTTTAAGAGGCCCATTTGTTGGTTCTATGAGAAAGGGCCTTCTTTTGCATTGGTCCTACACTAGGGAATGTACCTGTTTTCTTCATCTTTAAAAAAGAATTCAAGGCCTTTCTCTGGAACTCGGTCATTTAATTATTATTAATGTCATACATTTAGCCTTCACCACTGACTCCTGGTGACTGCCTAGACTAATCCCTGCAGTTTTCTTGGCAAGATCTTCAGAAGTGATTGCCATTGTCTTCTTCCTAGGGCTGAGAGATAGTGACTGGCACAAAGTCACCAAACTAGCTTTGTACCTAAGATGGGACTAGGACTCAAGGTCTTCTAGTTTCAAGGTCTTTTAGTTTCTAGCCTGGTGCCTCAAGCACTGCACAAACTGAGTCTCTATTAATATTAGTTGTTGTTTGAACTTTGTTTTATATTTGGAGAACTATTGTCAGTCTCCTTGAACATCCTAGGAGTTAGAAACAGAACATAGATAGACAGATAATATGATGTTAAGAGAAAGCCAGGAATTATAATTCCTAATTAATTACTACGTTACAGGTAGTCCTCGACTTACAACTGGTTGCTTGGTTTATGATTCAGAGTGACAACTGATCCAAAAAAAAGAATCTGATTCGAAATTCTGACAGTCAGGCCCTCTCTGTGGTCCCCACCATGACCGAACTGGGTGCTTGGCAACATGGCTGTTTGCAGTATCCCATGGTCACATGACAATTTTCTGAAAACCAGCACTTCCAGTTTTTGGCAAAACCTTACCCACAGCAAACCATTGGTTTGCTTAACAACCCTGGCATTTTCTTTGCAATTATTGTGTTTGCTGAACAACCACTGCAAAAAGATCATAAAATGGTTTCACGACCCATTACAATGCATGACCAATGGGCAAGCTCCATTGTAGTCATATGTCAAGGACTACTTGTATAGATATTCCATTAAGCTCCAGCACTCTGTAAATACACTGTGCCAAAAACCTAGAGAAAACCCCATCCAATCACTTTTTTCCTGTTTTTGCAGGCAGAAATAATTCTGCGCCTGGCTGAAATGTGCCGTAGGCTGGAGTCTGAGGAGGAGAAGGTGGTACCATTTTATCCGAGCTCCCTGAACTGGGATGAACAGAAGGCCGTCGATAAGTTGGCTTTGGAAAAACCAGTTGAATCACTTGCTCAGGTGAAACGTCTGAATTCAGAAATGAGTGGGATACCCCTTTGTCTTCTTTGTTGCCACATGGAAGAAATATTTCCTTGGATTATTGTTTGGAATAATCCATCCGTATGTTAAAATTAGCCTGCATCTTCGGGGTTTATTGGCTGGCATTTACTGTGCTTCTCCCAGGAGGGATGATAGGATTGAGGCAAAGATTCCTTGAAGCTAGTAGGGTTTCTTTTCCTGAGTTTGGCACCAGCTGCTCAGAAAGATTTTCCTTGGGACCTTAGCAGAAGAAAAAATAGTTAAGCCTCATCTTTCCTGATCAATTACCGATAAATCTGCTTTTCATAGGGGAAAATCTGATTCAGATGATATGATGGCATTTGGTACAGTTTGACTCTCTAGTATTTGGTCAGAATTTGCCTCTGCTCTTTTAACAAAAGGCATTTTGCTTTCCCCTTTGCAAAAGCAAATTTGTCTGAAGTGCAACTTTTCATTTTGGTATTGGGCCGTTACCCACCTAAAGGAAATTGGTCTTTATAATCTTCCTAGTGGTTGTGGATTTCCCACAAGGATATCCCAATTTAGAATTGGCTTGGGAATTGCATGTTTCGCACAGCATACACTAAGCTGGCATTTTTATGTAGGCAAGTTCTTGAGCACTCAAAGTTGTGATGTAGTTCCTTGCAACCAGTCAAGGTTTTTCAACATTTTATAGATGATGCTGAACTACGTGGGCCTGGAGCGCTTTTGGCAAAGATACAACAAGGTGAGGTTGGAACAGCTCTCGCTAGAGCGGACTAAAGATGTACTGATGCAAGACAATTTTAAGCTGAGGCACCTTCTCAAGCAGTACTTGGATGGCATCTCAGTGAATGATGAAGTCCTGAGCCAGGTCAATCCTCTGATGATAATTAATCAACCTACAGCTGTCTCAGATGGGTCTCAGGCAGCACCTGCCAGAGGGTCCCAAGCCAAGCGGCCCATCTATAATATTATAGAGGCAGCACACGAAGTTTCTCATATCCTCTGAATCGACATTTGGTGAGTTCAGGCGGTTCTTTTCTGTTATGTTAACACAGCTACTGGGCACAAAGAAGAACCAGTCCATTCCAGTTACAGTCTGTGCTGGGCCCTTTTTTAAAAAAACCCCACAAACTGCCATTAAATAGTTAAATAGTAACTAATGTGTCTTGCAGCTTTTTCTTCCAAGGCCAATCCAATCCAGAGTCCTGTACAACGGAAGCTGAAGATATACCGCACGACTATGTGTAAATTTTGAAACACATCTGTCTCTGTACCTTCGGAGAGTAGATATTTAATAAACCTTTTTCCCCCTTACCCATACCCTCTTTTTCCTCTCAAACCTCTTATACACAGTGTTTAAAATTCCTCTTTCAAGAGCTTGAAACACTCTACATGAGAAGGTGGGAAGTAGGCTCCATGGATGGAAACTCTATGAAGCTACTAAAGAAAACCCAACAAGGATATTATTTTTGACACCTTCGCAACCAGAACACTCAGCCTATGAGCTGCTGAGATGATATTTATTCTAAGATCTTGTCTATCTTATAAACTTATACTTTATACCAAAGCAATTGATGTAGTTGTCTCAGCTACAGAGCAGTAGTATCTTGATGCTGATGAATCAGTTATTAATCTCACTATCCTTATACGTTCTCAAGATTTCTTGGGAAATGAACACCAGTGTAAGTTTGGACTGTAAATGGAGTTAGGCAACCTGCTACCATTTAAGTCCTTTGGACAAATTCCTATCATTCTCAGGCAGTACAAAGACTTATTAAATATATCCGAGGAATTGTAAAGTGTTCTCTTATTTTTAATCATTTTGTAGTATGAATGTTTAAGTAAAATCTATCCTATAAAGGCATATGATTAATAGATGCCCGATACAGACTTTATGCAGTGACCACTTCTTGAATTAACATGTTTAAGTATGTAAAGAACACTCAAAATCACTCTTCTGTGCCATTTACTTGATTACATCTTGTACAAAGTATTAGATCAGCCTTTGTGGATCCAGAGTTTTCTTAGAAGCTCACTGGCTATAAGGAACTGTAGTTGTGGTCTCACATTTAAAGGGTAAGACAGTGAGGAACATCAAACTAGAGATCTGTGCAGTGATGGGAACTGGTTCTCCATCCTTGGCCTTTTGTGCAAGAGTTATGTCTAATTAAGTTTTTTTTAGATATTGTGTATGTGTGGAAAACAGACAGTATGAGCACTCCCCCCTACACATACATTCATTCCAGTGGGAAACAATGTTGAAAAAGATAAGGAACAACTTTATTTCTTTTTGGCCTTGTTTTTCTTCTCTTCCTTGAGTTTCTTCTTAGATATTCGGGGCATCTGGGCTTTCTTGTAGAGGTAGTAGCCAATCAGTCCCAGCAGCGCTGGGGCAAGCCCAGTGCTCAGCATGGGGAGTATATCGCTGAACAGCTTCTGCCAGTAATTGGCTCTGGAGAGATGGATTAATTCCACCTCAAAGTGCAGAACTGCATCAGCTGAAAAAAGAGGAAATCCATGAAACAAAGCTAGAAGATTCGAAGAGGTTACACAGTAACATCACCAGGCAAACTAAGCCTAGAAGTATTATTTTTGCGTTTGTATGTCTCCTGGGCTATCCTTTTGTGCGTTTCCTTTTCACCAGAGTTTTGTAACATTTTGTTTTCTTAAATCCTACCCTGGTTTACAAAATAAAAACTGCAGCCCAGATGTGGCTTTATAATATTACTTCCTAAATGCCCACAGTCCATTCCTTTCCAGTCTCCCTTTCCTGGCCCAGTTAGAGATAAAGTGTCCAATCAATATTCCAAAACAACAGGACTGGACATCCTTGTCCAAACGGTGCTAAGTATCTGGCTACTTCCTGGCTCAGTAGGCTGACCGGCCATTAAATAATTGCTGGTAACTGGATCCTACCTGGTATAGCTGGTGGGGAACCTCGTTTGCCGTATGCCTGGTGAGGAGGGATAATGACTCTTCGTTTCTCCCTGCCAGAAAAACAAACAGAGTAAAGGCCAGGTCAGTATTCATAAGATACAGGAGCACAAGGCCGTTGGTTTCAATGGGATTTTGCCAACTGATCACCTCTAAGCTAGAAAAACATTGTAGCCTTCAGCAAAACAAGCTACGTCCTTGAGGGGAGGGGAGGGGCAGTCATGGGAGAAACTGAACAGACATGCTGGACCAGTTTTTCTGACTGGATTGCCTGTTTCCATGCGTAGAATGACATTTACATAACTGGAACAGAATTTTTGACTTTGATAACGAGCCTCTTAAGATTAAGGCCTAGAGCGCTTTTGAATATTAAGATGGGAACAGAAAAAATTGGTGAGGGCTTGCATAAAGGTCTGAAAGAAAAACTAAATGAGATTTTTTCCAATAACATTTTGTCCTCCAAGCCTCTTAACATTGTTCTGTTTTCCTCTGTACATATTCCAGCCTGTTAATCTTCAAGCATCAGGCTAGAAACTGGGAGGAGATTCTGAGTTGTAGTCCCATCTAAGACACAAAGCCAACTTAGGCCAGCTCTCTCTCTCTCTCAACTCTAGAAAGGAGGCAATGGCAAATCACTTTTGAAATCATACCAATAAAACTGCAGGGACTTGTCCAGGCAGTCACCAAGAATCAAAACTGACTCGAAGACACCCTTTGTCATCCCTCAAATCTTAATCTTTGGCAAGTGAAATCCTGTACTTAATTGTGCTTGCCATGTTTTATTTTTGGAATAGTGGCAAATATCTATAGCTCGGGTGGAGGATGAAGGTGAAGGTTCCTTCTCCGAGCTTGTGGGTTGGTTTCTAAAATGTTTCATTACCAGGCTAGGTAACATCTTCAGCGGAGTTTAGGCCAGGGGTAGGCAACCTTGGCTCTTTTATGACTCGGGGACTTCAACTCCCAGAATTCCTGAGCCAGCCATGCTGAGGGGAAAGGGAAAGGTTTCCAAGCTAAGCCATGCTGGCTCAGGAATTCTGGGAGTTGAAGTCCACGAGTCATAAAAGAGCCAAGGTTGCCTACCCCTGGTTTAGGCAATGTCAGTGTCAATAACTGTGTCAGTGACACTGACACTGATAACCCCTAAACTACGCTGAAGATGTTACTTAGCCTGGTAACGAAACATTCAGAAACCAATCCACAAGCTCGGAGAACAAATCTTCACCTCATCTTTTATTTTTTGATTTTATTATAATTTTTAAATAAATGTAAGCAGTCCAGAGTTGAGAGTTGGGCAGCATGCAGTTAAAATATTATAGTCAGATGTTTAGACTGGATTTGGCATTTTTAGCCACCCATTGAGTCTTTCCCAAGGACCTGGAACAGGCAGATGTTGTTGGTTAAAGATACTGTTGCAGAATGTAGGCTGTTCCAAGCATAACTGCTTTCTGCAGTTCTGATGGTGATTTTCTGAATGCTCATTGTGTCCAAGTGGTGCTCCAGATAGTTTGGGATTGCACCGAAGGTGCTTATTACTATTGGTGCAATCTTTGCTTTATTATTATTGTTCTTGCCAGCACTTTTTCAGCCTCTTTCCCTTCTCTATTGATCACTGCCCTTTTAATACTAGTTTCTCTTTGATGCCCATCTTTATATAAACACAAGAATGGGAACTATATCATTTTTCAGCTGTTGAATTCCAGGTCCCATAAATTCTAGCAATACAGTCTCTAGTAAGGAATGCTGTCGACTGCAGCATTATAATATTTAAAGAACCAGAATTTTTCCACTGTGGTCTGAACAAGCAAATAAGAAAAATATCTCTGAATGCAGACAGTGCTTTTGTTTGTCACTTGGAAACTGCAGCCCATCTTGGCTCTACACAGAAAACAAACAGAATTCAAAACAGAGAAGGTTGCAG